TTACGTTTATCAACTTTAGTCAACAATCGTGTTTTACAACCGTACACATCTTCGACAAAGCGATGATGTTGAAAAAGTAATCCCGCTTTGATTTCGCTCTCTTTCCGATTAAGATGTCCTTGATATAGTTAGCGTTTGGCTTCCTTTAAGGTTTCAGCCATCTGATCGCGTCGCATTTTAACTCCGTGGCTCAAGGACGGATGATATAACTTTCCATTTCTTATATTCCCTCTGCTATAACAATTATTTGGGATCTTCTTCTGTGCCGTCCAATTTGATGCCTTTGATCGACTTATACTGAATCCGAATTTGCACGTTTCTTTATTCAGTTCTTGCAGCATTTCTTCGAGTTTAGTCGTATTTTGCGCAATCAGCGTAACATCGTCAGCAAATCTAAAGTGCCTGAGCCGCTGACCGCCGATTTTATTCTTTCCTGTCCCCCTGAATAATTGACAGGTCATGAATTGCTTTGGAAAAATTGCCGGATCTGTAGGGTGCGATGTTTTTTTTCTAAGTCGAGTTCGCTTCCTTCAGCAAATTGATGTGCCTTGTGTCGATGTCCTGCTCGACCGCTATTTTCCATACAGTGTTGAGTTGAACTGAGGCGAACGCCTTTTCGTAGTCGACAAAGGCAGGCACAAAGGCAGTCGATATTCTTTCAAACGTTCTAGTGGTTGTGTCAGAGTTAAAGGTTTATCGCTTGTTCTAAACTTCCTTCGAAACGCTGCCGCCTGCCCTTTTGCTCGGCTGCTAATCCAGACTCATTGATAGTCGACTGGCAGTTATCTTTGTAGACGTCAAGCATATTAGGCGATAATCTTTTTGGTTTACCAGATCGCCCTTGTTGCATATTAAAATCGTGATTGACTCTTTCCACTACTATATATTCTTGTCTGCAAACATTCGCTGAACTTTCCAAAGTTTCTGACTTCTGATTATTGTTTCAGTTGTCAGTCGATCTCTTCTTGCAGTCTTTCCTATTTTGTTCTGTTGTATAGCATAGCGAACATCTATCGCAAGGGTTGGAGGTATGCTCTGTCTTCCGACGCATGACCGGAGGTGGCTTGATGTCACTAAGGTCTTGAGGCTAATAGTTAGTCAGGTTCCATGATCGCTTATCTTTTCGAGTCGCGGAAGTAAACACGTTAGACAGTGTCTCTAAGGCTCCCAGTCCTTCGCCAACATTTGAGCTTGAACAAAAGATAACTCGAATCTGGACCAGAGTCTTTCCATATACTTAGCCGAGATTATTCTTGTCGAAGCATAAACCTGATTGATTTTGAGAGTTATGCTTGGTCAGTTGTACATGGAGCATTCGTAAGCATGATGGTTTTAACTGACTAATCATTTGGTCTTCCTTGCACTTACGTTACGGGGTTTGTTCTAGTACCCTTCCTCTCATGGAGTTAATTGTGGTTAAGCTGGTCTCCATCATATCTTCAGCCAGGAGTAATTATTTTTAAAGACAGACTCGAGAGTAGATCGCTCTCTGTGAATCATGCCATCTCTTGAACTGCTACGGTACCCAGTGAAGAAGAGGAGGTTTCATGTTTTAAGAATTCCCTTACTTTGATCGTCGTCTGATTCTGTTTTGAGTAGAAAATGATTTTAGAAAGACAAACATGGTCTAAAAGAGGAAAAAAATCACACACGTCATTCATAACTGTTATAAGCACTGTTTCTTAGAAGCAGCCGAAGTGCAATGCCGTTTAGTGGTGATCTGTTGTTTCCTGGCTGTATTTTCAATCATCTGCTTTTAGTGGTGCAAGTTTGATGACGACGTTGTGTCTCGCTGTACGAAGAAAGAAGCGATCGAGGTGAACTACGGTGGAAGCGACAGCGACGTGTCCCACCGTCACTGCACTAACGCTTACATGCTGGCTTATATTCGCGATTCCTGCTTAAGTATGTGTAGAGATTCGCTTATTCGTACCTCTTGCTACTGTCAATTCTCGTTTAGGCGAAATCCTCGAACCTGTGGCTGAAACCGACATCCCATCGTACCTCAAGCAGCGTCTGCAAGCCGAAAAGTAAGCCTTCCCCTCCCAGTGCCCAAGTATTGAATTCGGTTTTGTAACGTTGCCATCAGACTTTTCTTCCACGCATGTTCAAAGTAGTTGATCGATTTAATCACCTGAACCGGACGAAACAGCATCATCTTATCAAGAAGGGAAAGGAAATTAAAACTCGAAAATAAAGTTTTCTTCATCCAGTGTAGCGAATGCATGAATTAGACAATCATTCATTTTCGATGGCCGCTTTTCCTTTGAGATCTCGGAGGCCGAAACGTCGGACAATTGCCCCAACTTTCCAGTTCTGTGTTAGGGTTTAGGCGTCGGTAGACGATAACCCTAATCAGCAGCAAAGTCTTATTTCGAGGCCTTATGCTGAAGGACCTTTTATTTTAAGCTGATTACGACAGTTATGTGGCCATCTTATAAAACTTTCGTTCTTCATCATAGTAGATGTGCTCGTTCATCCACAATGAATTAATGAATGCCTGCTGATTCTGTAGCGACTCAAATTTGCTTTTTACGGCAGTTAAGGTATTTTGTGTCGTGACTTTTAATAAATTTGTAATAGTCCAGACGAGACTGTTAGTCTTTCTGCCTCCATTTCTTGTCATAGATCGAATCTTCTTAACAGATTAACATACAATCCTGTATGCAGACCTTTTGTCGCCACTAACTCATTAGCTTCTATTTTAAGGTCCGCTTCGCTCTAAAATGAAATCGTTTTACGTGTAAATGATCAATATATCATCAGTGTACTCTCAGGCTGATGCGACTTAACGATATGGGGCATTCGCTTGTAGAAACCACTACTTTTGCATCGTTTGTTCATGGGTTGCTTTAATAAAATTTCGCTATATGCAGATAAGCATGGTTTTGTCGAGCACCTGATTAAGTTCATCCTCTGTATTGATATAGTCACTGTTTTGTTTTCAGAGATATGGAAACGCTGAAGAAAAAAGAAAAGAGCGAAGCACATCTGTTTTGTCAAGTTAATGTAGGTTTTGTTTCGTACTTGTCTTGCTACCGAAATGAGGCCGAAACCTTCAGATAGTCACCGAAGATCTGTTCGAAGGTCATCAGGGCTCGGATATCGTCGATATGGACTACGCTGAACGGTTGTGCAGGAAGTTTCGCGTCAAACGGTCAATGAAATACGAGGACTTCTGTGCATTCATCGGCCAGCAGTTCGTAAGAAGATTTGCCCTTTTGTTACTCCTCTAAGATCACGGCATTACTCACCTCGGCGTATTTGTTTCCAGAATCTTTGTCCGAATGTCCAGTTCAGACTTTGGCCGCTGACCCGCAACCAGTCGAACGGTCTTCGGCCGTATGCTCCATTCGGCGAGCCTGAATCAACGGTATCCTGTTATTTGCTTGTGTTTCTACTATTGTCCCTTATGATACAATGATATAACCTGGGTTATGGCGTCTTATTATGACTGATTGCAAATCCCCTCTTGCCTAACTCACCTGTTGAATATTGCATGCCGCCGAAAACGTCGCATTCGGTGGCACTCGTAAATGATTCCGTGCAGATGGTTCGGCTCACATTATTGACCATGAGTTTGAAACTATGTTCCATATGTCTGTCTGTTGTATATCATGAGGAGATTACGATAAATAATGTCAATAGAACAACAGACCTTTTGGCGAAACTGCCGTTGTTCCCAGATTGTAGCTTTTCGGTTCATGGACTTCAGATTCGAGAGTAGGCACTGAAACGTACATCAGTTTTTTTACGGTCGATCAGTACATTCAAAATGTCTATGATCACGGTGCCAATATCTCTCTGCAAATGACTCTGACCGTCATCTTGGTAAGTCAGGATTGGCAGTTGTTTGTGCCTATCCATTTTCTTTCCAGCACAGCCAAAAGCCGAATCATCAAAAACCTTAAAAAATGTTTCCGTATATTTTTACTTCCGTATTTCATAATTAATTGTTTTGTTTTTTTCTCGCTTTATTCTCTGCCATAAAAATGGCTCATTGTGCTTACGGCAAATGTAAACAACAGTATGGAATGTTTTAAGACTAGAGAGGATTGAAACTACTGCTTTCCTTAGATATTTGATTGCAGTGCTCTGAAAGTACAGCGGCATTTAACGATATCTCACTGTAAAACACTTGTGATATTTGTGCGGCTGATCTAATTTTTCTTTTAGTTGGAACGATGTTTTACGGGTGGTGAAAACCAGATTTTGATATTCATGGAAATTTACGATTTTGGCAATGGCATGACCGAGCTACCGCCGTATAATCAGGAGAGTGAGTTATGAGTAAAGTGTGATTGTGCGAATTATAGTTGTAGAATTTTATTTTAAAAAATTTTATAATAATTTGTGTAAGACCAAAGAGGAGGTCATCAAGCGACGTCGTCGTGAGTAATGATACGAAAATGCGAGTACTGACCGAAGATTAAACAAAAGCCGAAAAAATGGTGGGCAGCTGACTCAGATAGCTTACTCTTGTTAAAGGGAATGCTCTAAACAAAGGAAGAAAAGATATTATAATAGTTTTTATAAATATCTGACCATGCTTCTTTATGCATAAGATGATGTACTTTGACACGTTACTAAACTTTGGCATAAAGCTTTTGCCTGCATTCTTTAAAAAACTGACGTTCCATATTCGAACTGCAAATTGTGAATGAAGGTGGTCCGAGCTTATGGAAACATTAGTTTGCCGGAACAAGCATAAATAAAAATGTTATGCGCTGTTGTCTGGCCATTTGTTTCAAATCAAAAAAAAATAAATTTTTAGTTCTAATTTATTCTTTAATTTCATCTCTGTATCAAGTTAATACGAATTTCTACTGTTAGTCTTTTCAGCCATACGCTTTTATCGAACGATTATTTATTTTAAAAACTTCTGTTCTAAGCAGTCTGCTCTTTTTCCAGTTTTCCTGGTCGCTTCATTCACCTACTTTTTGTCACTGTTTTATTCGTCTATGGTCTTTTCTTCAATCATCGTAGGAATTGCTTTCGTTTTTATTCTCCAGATCTTCATTGGATTAATATCCATTTTCTTTTTTTAATATCTTTCCTCCCCTTGGCAAGAATTTTTCCATCAAACGGGTATGTTATATCAGCGATTTGTGCCCTCTGTCGATTTGTCTATCAACAAGATACCCGGAAAATGAGCCGATGTTTCTTGCTCAGTTCGTATTCGGAAGTCCCAGAGCATTTACAGTTCTTAAGTGTGTTACACCGTCTTCAGCTGATTTTTCTACCAAAATTTTTTCCCTGATAAGTTGGTTTGTCTGGATAAATACCAATGTCCTGTCACTGCATCATTGCTGTGTCTTTCCCTGTATCCTCATTTCACGAATATTTTGCACTCATAGGCAGAGACTATGTTGATCACGGTCTCATCCATCATTTGTCACATTCTGCCCATTTCTTTTGACTGCCTGTGTAAAATCTTCGCTTTGTACCAGTTCGTGTTAAGTGCTTCGCCTTGGGTGGGCCCATTAGATGAGGCTCCGTTTAGTCACGAGTCTGCCCCTCAGTAGTCATTTAAAGACTGAGGTATAATATGACTTTCAAGGAGGTTTTTTAAAATGATATTTTACGTAGAGTATATCGACTAAACGCTTTTAATGATTTAGATGATCTACATCAGATTCATAAAGAATCATGCTGTAAGCAGATGGATATCTATTTAATTTTGAAGTTGTTTGGAAATGAGCAAAATGACAGTATGTTTTGAGTACTTCTGTATAAACCGAAACCTGTCGCTTGGGAACGGTTTGTATACTCCTTCTGAGTTGTGATAGTTAATTAATAAGTTTATTTGGTTTTATGATCTGGTTATTTTATAGCCAGAATGCAGGTCTAATTCAAACCCTTAGACAAGTTAGATTAGTTAAGATTTATTTTTCAAATTTCCTGCAACTGGAATCAGGTAGGCCATTTTCCTGCACTTTAGTAGCATTTGGACAAACTTTTAGCAGCTATCTTTGGACTCCGTGTAAACTTTTTTCTATTTCGTCCGGTATATCAGTAGTTTCTGGTTTTTGTTGTGTAGTGAACCATCGCAGAAGGTGAGTGTGTGTGGGGAAAGTGGACACAACCCGCAGCTTTATAATAGGAGACATATTCTCTATTTAGGTTAGAAGACTTTTCGAGGCTGGACTGTCGAAGGCATCATCAAGTCTGATGAATATCTTGCCCATCTCCTATCTCTCGAATTCATTCATTTTCAAAAGTCGAATTGAAGGAAAATGATTATATCACGTGGTTAGGTGACTGTCTTCTGCTGGAAAAGTTACCTCGCGCTGTTACAGAAATTTTTTGATTGTGATGTGAATTCTGAAAGTTTAACCCATTGATTGGTATTTAAATCATGTGTTTCTACGTATCTTTGCGCATTGAGTAAATATTACGGTGTCATATCCTATTTAGTGATCCATTTAGCTTACTGTCAAAGTTTGAATTGCTTGCAGACCGTTTGTGTCTCATTTATATTTATACACGTGATGCTCACAGTTTAAGATTGAAGTCTGTATTGATACCTTGTTTGCCTTCGTCCGTTTCATTTTTCGTCATTATTCTTTTCCCTTTTTTCAGCTCTTCATTTTCTCCCACTTTCTTCTGCTACTCTATTTTTTCTTACCACCTTCCATTCTGTTTTACTTTTTTCTTTCTTCTATTTAAATAACCTGCCTGTTGTAAAATTATTAAATTTCTTTTCATTTATGGCCGCTTTACAGGCCCTGGTATGGTTTTAAATTTGCTTAGGAATGCATAATCTCTCATTTCGGTTTTTTGCATATATACAATCAATACAGTCTCAGCGTAGAAGAATTGTTATATTATCGTATGTGCAAATTTTGATAAAGTTTTGCACCGTGACTTTCTAATCCTTCCAGGTGCCGTAAAACGTGATTTTTCCGGTTTAATCTCTACCACTCTGTACCTTATCTGGTGTTGCTGTTGGGTATTTATCCTTTGATCACGGATTATTACGAACGGTGATCGACATAGATGCTGTTTCGCTTTATAGATGAATTGTTTTTCGTGTCCATCTCATAAGCAGCTTTTCTTTGAGGTGATGAAAGGTCTATCAACCTTTGGATATGGCTGTCTCGTTTAGCTGACCATTCCGAGGTACATGACAATCCCTAATCGGTACTAAAAGTTGAACTCGGCAGTAAATAGCCGGGATATGCTGTCCTTTAATTTCATCGATGTTTGCTGCTAATCACGTTATTGACACCGAGGGTCGATTGTGGCAATGCCGGAAAATCCCTTACACTAAAGATACAATTTCTTGATTGTCTCAGACTGCGGTTAATCTTTGTTAGTTTGGCGTGAGTTGTTTTCATTTACATTCTCTGCTACCTGATGGTGACTTTGGGCAAAATTCGTCCGATCATAGTCAGGTCTGAGTTCTATCCGGTGTCGTTACAGTGACTTCTGAATGTATAATGTGTCTGATATTTTAATCTTACAATTCGATGACGTGTTTTTAATCTCTTTTGTTCTTTTTCACAGTCGATTTTGTTCCATGTTTCGTTTTTTCCGTTACTGTCCTAGTAGTCAGCGTTAATATGCATTTAGCCGATATTTGGTTTTTCGTGCGGTTCTATGACGCGCCGAGGAAGATGATGGTCTACGCCGGTCACGTCATCATGAACGTCAATAACTCTTTAGGTAAAGTGGCGTTAATGCTTTTGATTTATTTCAGGGTACAATTTACGTTCTGTTCTAAAAATTGAGCCAGTGGAGTATCTTCGAATGGCTTAAGTAAGGCTCATGTTGATGTACCTTGTAACTCTAACTTCTATCACACGAATGAGGTTGTTACATTATGCACAAAAAATGCAATGCGTGAAGCAGGATTATCACACAACTGAGAAATGTTTGTTTTGTTGCCTGGCAAGAAACAATAAGTCAGAGGAAAGGAGTAGTAGTATCATGGGTGTTCGTACTTTACCGTCACATTTTTAGAATGGCTTAAAAATCAGTCGCCCTTCGTGCTTTGAATTAATGCATAATCTATTTTTGCGTTCCAAGATTAAAAATCACCTTAATGGTCGGTGGGGCCATTAAATATTTCTGTTGCTTTTATAACTCAGTCCCTGAGTCTTATTACGTTGTTCAGAATTTGTTCTTGTCGGAGTGCGATTCACATCGTTTCATATGAGGTTTGTGGAACATGACTAAATTTGCAGCAAATCAATGAACTGAGCAAACATATCGATCTCATGCTGAAGTTTTCGCTTGATCTCTTCATTTACTGGGTAAAAACTTCTGATGACTTAATTAGCCAAGTGAAAAGTTTTAGCCCTTATCTTAAGATTTTCGAAATGGTTAAATTCCACGTCAAAGCCCTTTTTGACAACATTAATTAGCAAAACCCTTTCCATTGCTCCAAAGATTTGCAAGACTTAAATAACATTTCGCGAAAGAGACGTTCGTTAATCAAAGATGCAAAAATCTTGAAGGCTTTTAAGGTGGTACTTGAAAACATTTGCTTTGAACTCGATAAAAACGCACCATTACCAATCTTTTGGACAAATAAGGGATCTCCCGTCAATGTTATTACCTCAGAAATTTTTAATTTTGAATTCGCTACTCTTTACAACACTCCTTTCATCATGTAAACCCTTCTATCGTAGGTACACTGACGTTCTTTTATAGAAACCGTCTTCTGATTTTCTTAAATTTCTAAACGGTCTTGACGATTAGAGTATGATAGAGTTCACAGTCGAAGAAGAGCATGGTAACGCCATTTCAGATGATAAGTCTTCTAATTCCATGGTTTGCCGCACGAGAAACAACGTCTGTTTTGCGTTAAAGTGCGATGTTCTATTGTAATCGTTCCTCTATTCTCTTTCAGTTTATATAACTTAAATCCGAAACCGGGAAGGCATATTAAAATTAGTTTTTAATTTAAATTTGAATGTCGATCACAATATTCTTCAATATTATCGCTCTATTCCAAATTAAAGTCTTCACTTCTCATCTCAACATATCAGAAACATTCTGTTTATGATTCTGATACCGTTTAGCATATGTTCATGTATATATATCATACATCTGTCTTTATTCAACTAGGCTTTGATTCATTGTCATACGACGGAAAGGCATTACTCGGTGCAGCGTCTTGTGTAATGAACACTTCAAAACAGACGATCTGTATGAAAACTACTATTTTAATCAAATTGATTGCAAAGGTTGTAGTAAAATTAATTTAGTATGACCAAAAGATGAATCCGTCTGAAGGAACACAGGCAATGCTCCAGTGGATGGAAGAAGCTTCTGCTATTGTG